AGTCTCCCTCCCTGCTATGCCTCTGCCTCTCTCTCTCTCCCTCTCTCCCCTTACTATGCCCGTCTCTCTCTCTCCCCGTTATGCCCCTCCTCTCTCTGCTATGCTTCTCTCGCTATCACCTCTCTGTCACGCTCTCCTTGGGCCGTCCACAGTGTACATGTGCAACAAAAACAAATGTGAAATATACAAAAACAATCCACCATGTGACAAAGAATATACATAAATAAAAGTTGAGAATTACAATTCACATTATTTTGCATGATTTAGTTGGGTGGGGGAAATGTCAGATTCACAGCATGGTGTAAATCACATTTTATACAAATTGTCTAGGGGACAGTGCTAGGTGACCGGGGGATTTTGTTTATTTATTGTTTTTACCTATAGTTGGAGGATTGTAAGGGATTGCCAAAGAAATCAGTTATATTTTGTCTCCAGCAATCTCTCAGAACATTCCTCCAACTGTAGTCACTGGTAAAGTGCACACTCAGTGTACATTGCTGGCATTTTTGTTTTTACAAATGCCTCCGCAAAGGTGGAAATGGGCTTTAAGGGCTTTGCCCATTTATAAGTAACTCTGATGGAGCGCAGCCGTGGAACATGTCAGTGTAGTGAAGGTACATGTTCACCAAGATTACAGTGGCAGTCCCCTTTCTTTTCACCAGGTTGGAATGCTTTTGTGGTTTACATTGCTAAGGCATCTCCCAGACTTTACAGCATGGTTTCCCAACTGGCTTGTCTCCTCTCCTACTGCCGGCCATTTTGTAAGAGTTTGCAAACTTCAGTGCTGTGTGACCTGAGGTTCAGGCCCAGCGCTACCGCAAGGCAAGTCAGGCGGCCGCCTGAGGGCGCTGCAGGGTGAGGGCGGAAAAAACAGGGCATTTTGACAAGTACTTGTCAAAATGCCCTGTTTTTACCAGGGGTCAGGGAGGGAGGGGAGGGGGGGCACAAAAATGCACCTTGCCTGTGTAGGCAAGAATCCTAGCACCGGCCCTGCTGAGGTTCCATTGGAAGATATTCTTGGTGATATGTCCTGATCTAGTCACTTCTATGGAAATTCATTTGGTTGATATATAAGTAGTTTTATCTGCACTATTCAGAGTGCTCTATTTCTTTTTATGCTGTGGGTGTTGAGGAAGTGATTCAATTAAAAATCTTAAAACACATTCTGATGTCAGCCTGTTGTTAATCATAAGATTCTGTGTAAACATTTGTATTTATTTCTCATACAGGTACATTAATTAGCTCAATTGGCTATTCAACACCTACCGTGAAAAAAGCTAAACAGATCTTCATTATCACAAGATGGCGAAAGTTGTAGAGAAACCATATGAGTGCTATGAGTGCCAAAAAGGTTTTTCAAAAAAGTCACAACTAATTGTTCATTTTAGGATGCACACTGGAGAGAAGCCATTTAAATGTTCAGAATGTGACCAGTGCTTCACACATAGATCTAATCTTACTTCACACATGAGGATCCACACTGGAGAGAAACCTTTTAAATGTTCAGAATGTGATATGAGCTTCGCACAAAGTTCTTGTCTTACTCACCATAAGCGGACTCACACAGGAGAGAAACCATTCAAATGTTCAGAATGTGACAAGTGCTTCTCACAAAGTTCTAATCTTACTAAACATAAGAAGACTCACACAGGAGATAAACCATTCAAATGTTCACAATGTGACAAGTGCTTCTCAGCACGTTATAGTCTTCATATACACCAGAAGATTCACACTGAAGAGAAACCATTTAGGTGTTTGGAATGTTGCAAATGCTTCCCTCGGAAGTATCTTCTTGCTATGCACCAGAAGACTCACACAGGGGAGAAGCCATTTTATTGTTCAGAATGTGGCAGGTGTTTCTCAGAAAGGTCTCATCTTGCTGTACACCAGAGGATTCATACTGGAGAGAAACCATTTAAATGTTCAGAATGTGACCTGTGCTTCTCACAAAGTTCCCATCTTACACAACACCAGAGGATTCACACAGAAGAGAAACCACTGAAATGTTCAGAATGTGACCAGTCCTTCTTCGCAAGTCACAATCCTAAAAAAGACCAGGAGATTAACATTGAAGAGAAACCAATTAGGTGTTTGGAATGCGACAAATGCTTCTCTGAGAAATGTCATCCTGCTATACACCAGAAGATTCGAGCAGAGAAGCCATTTAAATGTTCAGAATGTGGCAAGTGTTTCTCAAAAAATGCTTCTCTCACTAATCACCAGAGGATCCACACAGGAGAGAAACCTTTTATATGTCCAGAATGTGGCAAGTGCTTCTCAAGTAGTTCTAGTCTTTGTCAACACCTCAAGAGTCACTCCGGACAAAAATCAATGAATTGTTCAGAATGTGGCAAGTCCTTCTCACAAAGGTGTAATCTTATCATACATCAGAGAATTCACACAGGAGAGAAACCATATAAATGTTCAGAATGTGGCAAGTCCTTCTCAGAAAAGGGTAATCTTATCATACATCAGAGAATTCACACAGGAGAGAAACCATATAAATGTTTAGAATGTGGTAAATCCTACAGAGAAAGCAATCATCTTGTCGTACATCAGAGAACACACACAGGAGAGAAACCATATAAATGTTTAGACTGTGGCAAGCCCTTCTCAGAAAAGGGTAATCTTATCATACATCAGAGAATTCACACAGGAGAGAAACCATATAAATGTTTAGAATGTGGTAAATCCTTCAGAGAAAGCAGTCATCTTGTCACACATCGGAGAATTCACACGGGAGAGAAACCATTTAAGTGTTCAGAATGTGGCAAGTGTTTCTCAAAAAATGCTTCTCTTACTAATCACCAGAAGATTCACACAGGAGAGAAAACATTTAAATGTTAAGAATGTGGCAAGTGCTTCTCACATATTAGTTATTTTACCAAACACTAAATGTTTCACACAGGAGATAAACCTTATTATCCTCCCTAGGGTTATGATTTTTTTTTTTTTTCGGTCTATTTTTCAAAAAAATTTCATCTTTGCCGCCGGTTCCGCCCCCTGCAATGCGTACACTCGCAAGGGACGGAAGACGGATGCCGGCATCGGCCGGAGAACACAGCGCGGCTCGACGGCCAAGGTAAGTAATTGCTATGCGGCATTCACGAGTGTAGTTCGGGGTTAACGCTTATGGTATGGAAAAGTAACCCCGAGCTACACTCGGGAATACCGCCAGGGAGGTTAATGTTTAAAATGTAACAAGATCTTCTCTCACATGATTATTCTTGTTACCACCCAAAAATTCACACAGGAGAAAAACAAATATAATTTCAGAATGTGACAAATGCGTCTCACATAGGTCACATCCTACGCCACACCAGAGATTTCACATAAGAGAAAAGCCACATGGAGAACGTAACAAGGATTTTTCAGACACCAATTCGTAAGCGACATGAAGTTATACACAGCGGGGAGAAGTCCTATTCATCAAAATCATAAATATTTTAGTTGTAGAATATCTCTGATCTAGCTTTAAAGCTTCACACAGGAGAGAAGCCAAAATCTGCAAATGTAACAAGTCTTTTATAAACCTGTCTCTCCCGCACTCCAACCAGAAGGTTCATGAGAGACATTGTGCAAAGGAGACTATAACAGATGAGCACCAATGTCTGGAAAGGCCAAACAGGACTCATTTTAGGGGTTCAAAGTCTCACGGATACAGCTGACTCCTAATATTTTGGTATTAATTTACATCATTTTATTTTCATGCATAAACATTTTTAATCAACCTTTTTTCTTTTCCCATATAGACATAATTGGGATTACATAGTTACATAGTATTTGAGGTTGAATAAAGACATTAGTCCATCAAGTCCAACCTATTAGGATCTCATTCTAGGAGTACCTGTACCCCTGTATATTACCTGTACCCCTGTATATTACGGTCCTTTAAGAAATCGTCCAAAAGTTTCTTGAACAATTCCACATTATTTGCTGAAATCACCGCCTGTGGCAGTGAGTTCCAGACCTTAACTGATCTTACTGTGAAGTACCCCCTTCGCCCCTTGTGCTGGAATTTTTTTGGGGTATTGAAGCCACAATAATTATTTGAACTGGCTAAAAAGTTTTTAAAAGATGGTTAAATTGCAAAAATGTTAAAAAAGTTGATTGAGGGATACAATTGTGTAGAAATCTGGTACTTGGTGCCAGCGAGGGTTGCCAGGTTTTACCCAACCACCACGCCGCTCTGTTTCCGGGGATGCCCTGAGCAGGGTACCTTCCTCCACATATGGTGGCAGTGCCCGACTGCCTCCACCTTCTGGGACAAAATGTTCTCCCTACTCTCATCGCTACTGCACAGGCCCATCACCAAAGACCCCACATTCGCGTTACTTAACTACAAATCCGAGGGCCTCTCCAGAACGGCATTCAAACTATCCCTCCACATCCTAGCAGCTGCGAAAAGAGAAATAGCGAAATCATGGTTAACTAACAGACTAAGTATCTCTAATGTTAAGAGGCATGTCAACTGGATAATGTTTCATGAGAAAAGGACGGCCCAAAACGAACTCTCCATGCACAAATTTGAGAATATTTGGTCATGCTGGTCGGAGGCAAATGCGCCATCTGGCGCCCACCGTCAACTACTCCTATGATGGGTACACGCAATGACCATCTGAACGTTGACTGGTCTCTAGTGATCCGCCTGACTTCCCCCTCCCCCTCAACTCATTCTCTTCTTCCCTTTCCCCTTCCTTCCCCCTATCTCCCCCCCCCCACACCCCTTTTCACAGCATCCTACCTCATCGATTTTGGGATGCATTGCAGCCCACCTTGATGGCGGGATCCCCCTTGCACTTGCCAACGGGAAGCCTCTTCTTTCCCCAGCGGGAAGCCACACTCTAAACATTCCGCATTTGCCTATCTTGTTTGCTATCCCAACAACTATTCCCCCGAAAGCAATCAAGGGACCCCATTTCTGGCTCATTTGTTGTGCCTCCTTAGAGTTTTTTGATTAGCACTCAATATATTGTCAGAAATTTAGCAATAACTCTGTACTGCTATACTCTATGCAATATATGTGAACCTGTACAAAGTATGGTTTTATATGACTGTCATCCTTATGCTTTTCAATAAAAATATAATAGTTAAAAACAAATTGTGTAGAAATACCTAAATGTGTACAAAATAAACGTTGTCAATATACAAGTCATTCATGGTATGATTTTTATCATTTTAACCTTAAATAATGATTTTAGCTTTAGTATAAAAGTCTGAGTTCTGTTGTATAGTTTATCTGGAAGCGAAGGTCTAAACTCTTTACCAAAGAGTTAAGCCAAAAGAAAACTGGAGTTAGGTTTTAACCACCTCTTGTCCATGGCCGTTCCTGAATGGCCGAACGGGAGCCTTATAGGAGCGGGAGGGCGTCTTAAGACGTCATGCCTCTCCCAAGCTTGTGCGTGGTGCCCAGCGCGCACACGAGTGGGGAAACTGTCCGCATGTAAACAGCCAGCGATGGCTTTTTACATCCAAGCGATCGGGCGTCTCTAGAGACGACTTGTACTAGCTGCGGGTTTGCGCCCCCCGTACCTCCGCTGCCGGTCCTGAGACCTGTTGTGCCTGGGGGGGCTGTGCAGCACAGTGACGCTGTCAGTGGAGATCAGTACACAATCTCCCTTTGATCTCTTCTCGGTCCCCGAATGCAGGAAGTGATGTATATTACATCACTTCCGGCATTCAGTGTCACTCTCCGGTTACAGATGCCGGTGAGAAGCTGATTAAGCTGCTTCATCAGCTTCTCTGGGGGTCCCTAGGTGACGTCAGGGGTCTTAATTGGCTATCACATAGGGGATTTCTTAGTCCTATGTGATAGCAATAAAGGGGACCTCATGGGAGGCTTCACCTCGGTACAGCGAGGATCTCTGTACCTCCCCCCACCAGCACAAGGAGAGAAAGAGTGCAATCAGATCAGCTATGTGCACTGTGAGTCCCTGTTCTTTCTGCCGTACACCGCTGACCTCTGCAATATGTTACATTGCTGACCTCTATAGTATGCGTTACATTACTGACCTCTGTACTGTGCATTACATTACTGACCTCTGTATTGTGCGTTACATTACTGACCTCTACTGTGCGTTTACATTACTGACTTCTGTACTGTGCGTTTACATTACTGACCTCTGTACTGCATTACAATACTGACTTCTGTACTGTGCATTGCAGTACTGACCTCTGTATTGTGCAGTTACATTACTGACCTCTGTATTGTCCGTTACATTACTGACCTCTATTGTGCGTTACATTACTGGCCTCTGCACTGTGGGTTACATTACTGACCTCTGCACTGTGCATTACATTACTGACCTCTGTACTGTGTGTCACATCGTTGACCTCTGCACTGTGCATCACACCACTGACTTATGTACTGTGCGTCACACCTCTGACCTGGCGGAGTTAATGCCAGGGCAGGGTAGGGATTAGGTGGGGCAACTGGTGGCAAATAACTCTCAAGGCCTGGCTAGTAGCTCAGGACGTGAAATTTTGAGCCTGGCTAAGCTATTTGCCAAAGTCTTGGCTAGGCAGCTATAACCATTGATACCACAATGTATCTCTGCCGAACAAACTGGATTTATTACCGGGAGAGAGGCAAGAGATCATTCATTGCGGACTCTGGCAGACAATGGATGCAGAGAAAGCATTTGATATAATTTTTTTAAGCAAATATCAGTGTTAATAACATCACATTTGTTCACTTTGAGTGCTCTGGAATGGAATAAGTGATTTTCAGTGAAAATGTCACCTTTAGCTAAACAGCAACACTACTAAGACATAAAATCGGTGTCAGAGTTGTAAAAGAATTGCCATGTTGGTGAGGTATCGAGACCGTCCAAGAATGATGTATATGAGCATAGCTAGGCACCATGTAATTATGTAAGCCGTAACACTGTGCTCATACCATGACATGTGGATTGCCTCTTTCATAGGCGAATACAGAATACATACGTCCACCAACATGGATCTAGTCCATCCACATGTAATTGTGCCACATACAATTTCATGTGGATTGCAGCTTTCATAGGTGGACGCAGGATACATGCATCCACCTACAGTGATCTAGTGTAAACCGCATGTAATCGTGTCACATACAGTTACATGTGGATTGCTGCTTTCAAAGGTGGACGCAGGATACATGCCACTTTCACATTTGCACGCAGATGCGTCCAGCAACAATGATGTATTACAAATCACATGTAATCATATCGCATACACAGGTGTATTGCCACTTTCATACGCAGCCACTGTCACCCAATCATTAACTTGAGTGGGTGACAGCAGACGCTTCTAAATGGTCGATTTGGGATTCCTATCACAGGCAATTGTAGGTTCCTGCTGTAGGAATTGTAAATTGCAGGTTCACGCCTAGTGTGCACAGATCTATGAGAAACACAAACATCACAAAAATATTATATTAAACAAAAATCTACATGAGATGGAGAAACACTTCTATGAAGTTTTATTGAATGTTATTACAAAGAAACATTACATAAAAAAATAGAGATCTATAATAACGTAATGAAAAAAAAACCAAATACAGAGAGAGAGAGAGACAGCAGAGAGCGTGCAGAATGAGAGAGCAAGAGACAGCGCAAAGCGAGACAGCACAAAGCCAGAGCGAGAGACAGCACAGAGTCGCATAGGTTCCTGCTGTGGGGATTGTATGTCGCACGTTCACGCATAGTGTGCACAGATCTAGAAGAAATACAAATAACACAAATATTCTAGGAAACAAAAATCTACATGAGATACAAAAAATGTTCTATTAAGTTTTATTGAATGTTATTACAAAGAAACATTACATAAAAATAGAGATCTATAATAACGTAATGACAAAAAAAAGCAGATAC